CAATTTATTTAATCATTTTTTATTGTATAGGCTATATTATTTTAAAATTTTATTGACCCCCTCATCTGGTCTTTACCCCAGACTGAAAATTATAATATGCTTATAAAATTATTCAAATTTAACCTCTAAAAAACACACAACAAACTCTCCATGTCTTTATTAAAACCAAACTCAATCCAAAATTAATATGTTGCAAATTAAAGCAGATATTCAGGACAACCCCTTATTTAATTCAGCCTAATACGTTTGCAGTACCTTAGTGTGAAGAAAACATACAATGTACAAAAGTAGCATAAAGTAAAAAAGGATATTGATAAGTACTTCGTTACAAATTATAATAAATCAAAAGCATACCATCATTACAATACTACTATATCAAAAATATAATGCTTATGGATTTTAAAGACATTAAAAATACAATAATACAAACCTTTTACACAAACAGTACACTTCATTTTTACTAACTAAGCATGCTATTAGTACATACAAAGCTACATAAAGTGTACAAAGTATACTTGAAGTTCCACTGTAGCATGTAATAGTAAACTTAATACACTTCAAATTGTGTATTTTTAACAATTAAATTGCAACTAAAATATATTTAGTATAAAATGAGTTGTTCCAAAATAGCATGCTTTAAGTATACTGATGATTAGTGTGGCTTTAGGTATGCTTAAATATACTGATTTAGTATACTTAATGTATTTTTTTCACCTTGGAAGCCATTAATGAACCAACAAAAACCTCAAAAACAGTTTTAAATCCTGATTCAGGATTATGAAACTTGAAACAAAAGAGAGTTCTGATTGGATTTTAAGATGACTGTGAGCTGTGTTCTTATTTATATTTAGACATGGTGTTAAAACACTTTCAGTTCATCACTTCAGCTTATTTTAATCAGTTGTACCAAGCATCTTTTTCAAAGGATGAAAAGTTGAACTGAAACCAAACTGCCCTGTAGGAGGAATCCTCAACGAAGCCCATGTTTTTGAAGAGTTTATAGGACACCATGTTCTCCTCCTCTATGAAGCAGTACACTGGAAAGCCGTCAGCGTGGAGCTTCTTGGCCATGGTGCTGATCAGAACTTTGGCGTAGCCTTTTCCTCTGTGCTCCGGCAGCGTGTACAAGAGCCCCACGGCACAGAAATCGTACATCAGTATCCAGGCCACCGGCTTGCCTCGGACGTCCATGATGCAGATGGAGAGGAAGTTGCTAATTAGATTTTTAATGTTCCTGTAACCCCGCTCGTCGCCTCCAAACTTCCAGGTTTTATTCACCGTGTCAGCATGGGAGAGGTTCAGAGATGAAATCCTCGATTCAAGCTCACTGTTACCAAAAAAGTGGACATTTTTTTCCTAATTTTGAAGCAAAATAAAGAGTTTGATGCATTTCAAAGTAAATTTGTCTGTTTGTACCTGTCAACATCTGAAGTGGGCAGATAGCTGGTGTCTGGCAAATACAGAAGCCGAACCCAAATGTAACTTTTCTGGCTCACGTTGTTTTCCAAGGCCACTTCTTTGATGGTGGGTTCATGAGAAATGTCAGAACCTAAATGACAAAAATAAACAGATTTTCCTTTTATTACCAGTAAATGTATGTACACATTCTTTACATTGTAAAAAGTAAAGGCCTGCCATTGATTAAAATTATTCTATGGTCTAGGGCAGTGGTTCCCAAACTTTTTATCTTCTGACCCACAAAATACCCTTGGCGAAAACTTGTGACCCCAAATATTACTGGTCTGAGTACACGAACTTCGTTAATAACCATAAAAACACAGGCTTTTTGACAATCTAAACAGCTTGTACACAAATATAAATAATTATTTATACTTATTTTGTGTTTTTGTAATAGTTATAGGG